CTTGAAAAAGAGAGCAAAAAAGATCGTTGAAGAATGGTTAGATGGAGAACTCGAAAATAGTCTGGGGGATGCAACTTTTATGAATGACACGCGCTTCGTTAAACTGTTTATCAGGTCCTCATATTGTTGGTCATACTTGTTTTAGCTACTTTATAATGTTTTCCATGCTTGTTTTAACAATACTTGTTCATCACCAATTGTTTCTACTTCAGATATTAATACCTCTAGCATGACTTCAAGTAGTTAAAAATTTCAGATATAACACAGGCATGCCTTCTGGGGCACCAGTGGAGCGCATGTTTTCGCTAGGAAAGAATATCATGCAAGCGAAGCGGTCGAGAATTTCCGATGGATTATTCAATATGTTGATGTTTATCAAAGGAAACGAGAAATTATGAGCATTTTGGGCGCTGTTTTGATGATGTTTTCGCTGTTGAACTGTTGTGTTTCTGTTGTTGTTTTTTATAACGGATTGGAATAATGCACGACTGTGTGCATATGCATATGAGAGATAAGAATACGTAACAAAATACAGATGAGAGAACATTGGATGCATACAAGAATAGCATTATCAATTGAGACATCGTTAACGTTATCGTTATAGGAATGACATTATCAATTATGATATATCCTCAATAGAACGGTTGACGGTATCAATATTTACATGAATGACATTACCAATTATAATAGTAGTTGAAATCATAAGCAATAATTAATATACAGAAGTAGTATTATCTTTAATAATAATTAAAATTATCGATAATTAATATTGGGACTGAGAGTAACTGTATAAAAAAGGTTGCGAGTTCGCGACAGTTGTATATATGTGGAAACAATACAAGTTCGTTCTTGAAAAGGTTCATTCCGATTTTAGGTTTCATATTGTAAGCACGGGTGAAGTCATTCCATAATCTTGATAATAGTTGGCGATATGAAGAGGCACTGAATGTAAATAATGGAACCTTCCTAGTTTCTAAGTGAGGTGCTATAAAACTTTTGAGAATTTAAAAGAGTTCACTTTAAGGTGGCGATAATTTGGAAATTATTCATGTATAAAGTTGAGGTATATTTCGGTTGATTGATTCGATCTGATTTATTCAGTGATTCCAACTCGTCCTGAGCACACGCCCTTTTTCATCGAGGTGATCATCTATGGAGAAGTTGATGTGCACAATCAGAATTTTCAAAATTCTACATTTTCTTAAAACATTTATTGATTCAGTGTTTCAACTCCGATTCATCGTTCACTGATCAAGGCTCGAGATCAATGACCAGAGAACGTAATTCTAAATGGAATCAGTGTGAGAAGTTGCATTAAAACGATGCCCCAAACACATCATTCCCACCAAAAAATAAGGCCCGTAAACAACGGCGGCAACAATCAAAACAATTATAATGACAGTTCAACGGCAACCATAAAAAGAAACCAATCATTAATTGTTTAACTATTGCACAAATTCTCTCAATTCATCATAAATCACGTCATTAAAACACGTCTTTTTTATTTAAATATACAAACGTCTCAATTCATCAACAGAATAACATGAAATTAGAAGTCTACGTACATAAACGCATGCCATTTATTCAAATTCTTTCCATTCTCCTCGCTATCATCTGCAAAAACCAGCTCAACCGCTTTCTTCTGAAGCACTTCTGCAGAATTTCCTTATTCATTGCACAGTCATCGTTTTATTTCCAGTGATATTGCTCGTGTTCGTGTTCATTTTCTTCATCTTTATTGTTTCCAATGTTATTGTAGTTGTTGTTTTATCACTGTTGCCATTACTAGAAGTAATAACAGAAGTAATTACTGTTGCCATTACTAGAAGTAATTGGTTAAGAACTGAAATATTCCAAAAACTCGTTTGCAAGCAAAGACGAAGACTTAGAATTTCATTCCTATTATCGTTTTGGTGAGTGAAATGCGCTCATCTTCAAATCAAACAAAACGCTTCTAAAAGTATGAATAAGTGATCGGAAAGTTCATTTGGGAAGTAACAAACAAATTACAATGGGTAAGAGAAAAGAAGCTTGTTTGATGAAACGAGAATTTCTTAATGAAATGAAGAGAGGATCGCGCAAAACTGTAACGTCTGCGCGGTCAGGTCGAATAATTGGTAAATGAGTGGATCTTAATAACTTATAGTGAGTTATGACAGTATGACTGATGAGTCAAATAATGATTCGGTCAGTTTGACTGTCGATTAGATATATATTATCTTGGATCATTTTGACTATTTCATTGATCGATTATTTATTTATTTATGCATTTGGTTACATTCTTCGGCTAACTCGATCACATTTGTTTATTGAATCATTCACATAACCGTGACGATAACCATGCGATACAATGTTGTTGATAATGATGGTCATACAGGTTGGATGCTAGGAGGCAGTCTTCCAGCGCATAAAGATACTCCTGATTTTCAAGTCCCTCTACGTGTGAGTACAAGTGCAATTCNCCGCTTACAGTAGGGGGGGGGGGAATTTTAGTTAACAAGTTAAAAGATATTTAAGTGGAAAAGATATTTTCTGACGATGTCTCATCGCATTACGTAAGTAAGGTTACGTCCGGGCAAATAGTGTCTTTCACGGGAAATTCGCACCATTCCCTGTTGGTTGTGAGTTTCACCGGGGCGACATTTATTCAGTCAGAAATCATCACTCATTATGATCATATCTCATCATTGTTTTCGCGGAGCCAACGGAAAAAACCAAACACTTTCTTGAATTTTGTCTGCACCACTGACTCAGCGATCTTTGATTGGGAAAAGGAATTAGAAAGAGCGTTTTACCTGGGTCGATGGAATTCTTTTCTTGAGTGGTGTCATACTATTTTTGTGCATTATAATGCGATTGTAATTACTTTCATTATCACCACTAACATCACTTTCATAAATGCACATAAACACATCCACTTAAGAATGTCTCTTTCCACTCTTCCAAATTCTTTTACGAGTAAAATACCGTTACATCAATTTTTGAATTCCGCATTGTTTCCCATCCTTTTTAAACGCATTATGCTTCTGTTTCACGTTTTCCTTATTGCAGAAAAAAAGAATTTCATCGACAAAACGTTGGGAAAATGTTGCTTATCATCATTTTGATTGTGAGCATTCGCGGCCGAAACAATTCAGTCGTTCTTGTTCTGTTTACTTCTTAATGAACCTTGTTATCGTACTTCGGAATTTACACTTGTTACTGTTCGTTTGTTTAACACGATAAGTGAGGAGGTAGGGTTTGCCATCAACGTGGATGGCCGACCATATTTCAAAACAACAAGTTGCTTGCTTACCGTCAGTCAGTTCACTGACCAGGAATAGTCAATCATTACGAGTGAATGGTCAATAAAAATTTATTTTTAATTGCTCTTTAGCATTCTTTTTTTGGTCGAGCTCGAGGTGAGCTTCTTTGATCATGATTAGATCAGAAAAAATGATCAAAGGTTGCCTCGGGTAACAACCCGATAACAGTGTTTCTAATCGTTTGATAAACGGTCATTTAAAGATGTGAAGCCTACGAAGTTTCATAATAATCGTAAACAAGCATTTCTTTACGCCATCTCTGCCATTGTCGATTTCGGAAGAATGACTTCTGTGTTCCTCAAAGACAGTCGAAAATCAATGTCATCAATAGTGTGTGATACGTTCTCTCATTTTTATTAGTCAAGTCGCACGTGATCCTGTTAGCGGTGTCACGTTGCATCCCGTTCATTTGTGACTACTGGCGTAGATGGCTTCGAGATCAATTCAAAATAACGTTTGATTTTGTTCATTTAGATATTTTATTAATGCAAATTCTCTGATTCTATACTATGAGAACGTTGATTCTCGAAACGATTAGTTAATGAATTGAAGATTGACCAAATCTGCATGAACCAACCGCAATAATGCTTTTAGTGCAGTAGAATGAAGACTGAACAGAAATTGAATTCTGGATGGTTTCTAATCAGATGATGTAGACTTTAATACATTTTGGCGGGGTATCGCTACTTACGTCAATAGTCAGAGTGTTCTGGGATAAAAGCACCACTGCTAATGAGAAGACTAAGCTGGAGTTGAATGAGTCTAAATGAAAGTGCACGGTTATACTTAGGTAAGTTCCAGTAAACTGGAATTTCACTAGAATCGAATCTCATGAAACAATTAAGATTGTGATTCAGTCATACGCGTTTATTAGTGGCAGTTTATCGCAACCTGCTAAATATCACGGAGGTAAACCATTGTGCAATAAGTGGTCTTCACAATTTCCGTTAACGTTACGAGTGTATCAAGCAGACTCGTCGAGTTTTATTCTGGCACGTATATGTGACGATTCTGGACCAGACTTACTGCGATAGTTTACCATATGAAAGTTGTTTTCTTTCGGATAGCTTTTACTTCATTTATTAGAAGTAGTGTTGGATCGGTGACCACCGAAAATCGGCCGGTAATCACCGACGGTTTTGCGGTGGTCCTCGACCGTCGGTGACCACCGACTGCAATCGACGAAACTTGCTCGGTCGGTGACAATGGCAAACCGTCCCGTGGTTACAACCGAACCGCAACCGACCGATGCTCAAAATTATGCGGTCGGTGAATACCGAGTTGTTGTAATTACCGACAGGGCTCTCGGTCAGTGACCACAGAGAAAAATCTTGCGATTCCGAACACTAATTTGAAGGTGAACAATAAGTGGATATTTGAAGGTAACCAATGAAAGACCAACTTAATTTAGCTTAAATACAGACATCAAACTGGATAAAATGAAGGGAAATTGAATTCTGGATGGTTTCTAATCAGATGATGTGGACTTTAATATAAATATTTTGGCGGGGTGTCGCTACTTACGTCAATAGTCACAATTCAAAGACCAATTTAGTTTAGT